CCGTTGCGTTTCTCCCCAATGCGCCATGCCACTTTGCCAGTCATACACACGTTTCGATGCGTGCCCTGTCAGCTGCTGCGTTGCATGTCGCCTTGCTCCACCCCTGTTTTATTGCTTTCTCTGCTTTCGCCCGGTTCCCGTCCCGTTTCGGCGGGGAGTCTATGTTGCAAGCTAGTTCTTGCTTTACCAGACTTTAAGCCCACACAAGCAAGCATGGCGGGATGCGCGGGCTCCACCGTGCCCACAAGCCACGCATGGGGCAAGCCGCGCAAGTTGTCATACACCCGCCCCAGGATTGCATGCCCCATCCCCAGGTGAAGCCTAATGAATTCGAATGGGTCACTAGGGTACCTTGGGGCCCCTGGGGTTATATGGCGTCATTTTCCCACCCAAGCCCTGCAAGCTCAAGAACAGGCAACAAGCAAGCAAGCTAACCTGACGATGGCGGGGTGGGGCCCGAAGCAGTGCGTGTATTGCGGCCCGCGCCCCGCCGCCACCGCCGCGTTGTTCATGCCCCGCATCTCGTCGCCGATCTGGCTGGCGACCTGCTGTGTGAGCGCTGGGTTAAAGGTAGCGGCCCATGCCATGGGCTGCAGGAGTGGGGGAGGGGACGAGAGTGGGGGGCACTCGAGGTGGTGGTGGGGAAGGGGGGGCGACTCATGCTCGGAGCAGGCAAGGGAGGCAAAGAGGCAACAACAGGCGCACGGCTTGCCACATGTGTGGCGGGCCACCCGCCCACCTGTGGGTACATTGTGCCCTCGCCGTTGTCGGCAACCATGCCGTGCAAGCACTCGCGCTGCGGAGAGCAAAGAGGGAAGGGGAGGAAGGAGGGGTGGTGAGCCGGCGATTGCTTGCCGCATGTAGGTGCTTGGAGGCGCGGCCGCGACAACCCATAGCTGCCCCACCCCCATCCTCCACCTGATAGTAGAATGAGCTGATGCCCAGGCGCATGGCGCGCTTCGCGGGGCTGCTCTCCAGCTGCGCGAGCTTCTCGGGCCCCGTCATCGCGGCCACGAGCGCTGCCGCCCGCTCGTCCGGCGGCAGGCTTGTGTCCAGCCATGCATGCGTCGCGGCGCTGTTTGCGCCAGGGCCGGCTGCAGGAGGCGTGGTGGGCGAGTGGATGGCTGGTTACACCCGATATAGCGAGTGAATGTTCAGTGGAATGAGTGGGCGGGAATGAGTGGGCGGGCGGGCGCGGGGGCGGCGGCGGCGGGGGAACACCCTTCATTTATTTTCAATTTGGGGGTGCCGGTTTTCGTGAATCCTTCCGCTTTCATAACATGTCCATGTGCTGTTCAAGCGAGACCAAGCGGCAACGGGCGGCGAACGGGGCTTTGCACTCGAGCGTAGCGGGGAACAAATTGCCTGGTCACACCTGTGCTCGATGAATTGGCTCCTTGACCGGCCACCAGCGCCGCGCAGCACGCCAGCGCCACGCTCAGCAGCGCCAAGGCGGTATCCGCCATGGCCTCCAACCCAAGCGCCCAGGAGAGTCTCCAACAGAAGAGTCAGTTTGGTATCCAACAAGCTGGCCGGTGTAAAGAAGAGGCAGGGAACTTGCCACATCTGCATGTTCGCCCACAGGCGCCCACATGTACAGCGGCCAATCAGCGCCGCCGCCGCTGGAACAGGTAGGCCTCCCGGTAAGGATGTGCCCCATGATGGGCATGATGGCCCCCCACCTGGAGGGTCATTGGGGACATCATCCTCAATCATGCATCATTCTCCCTCCCGTTTGTTCTGTTGGCATCCCAGCAACCGTAATATGCTTTCTAGGACATGAGCCAGCACTTTAGGATGAAGGTGGTTAGCAAGACCACGGCCCCCAGGCCTCTAGACGGGCCACAGCCAAAAAGACCCCGTGCAAGTAGACCAGGACAACAAGCTCCCTTCAATGTGCCAGGGCAGGCCAGGCGGCGGGGTGAGAGGGATGACAACGAGGATGAGCGAGCACCCAGCGGCTTCTTAGGCTGGGGCGACCGGCAAGGACGCAAACGTGATCACTGGGAGGCTCGGCTCGGACCGGACGTGGATGCCTTCTTGGCCTCTCTGCCGGGCCGGGCGGCGCAGCAGCGGCAGGAGCGCCAGCAGCAGCTCCAGCAGCGGCAAGCCCAGCTGGCCAGCATGGAGCCGCTTCCTTGCCACTTAGCAGCAGAAAATGGCAGCTGCTGTGAGTTGCACAAGACGGGCAGCCAGGCAGCTGTGTTTTATGGGCCGCTCGGCGTGGTGGGCAGGCTCACGTTGCCGGT